AGTAGCAGCGCTACTTTCATCAGCGGCGCGAGACGGGCACGTTCACCATATGCGGAGCTGACGGCGAGCAGACGATGCATAACTTGTGCGGGGCCTTCATGGGCGACACGCCTGCAGCGGCGTACATTGCCAGAACCTTCCGGCAGCCAGTGCGGCGGTGGATGGATCTTCTTCGGTCTCTATCAGACTTGGCATGGGCAGGCTCCTGTCCGTCCTCAGACCTACAACGAGTGGGTCGACCGGGAGCTGGCGCCGCCGTCGCCTCCCGCAGATCCTGATCGCACATTGTGGCCAAGCGAAGCGCCGTGCACGGCATGGGTCTCCATCCCACAGCGCCCAGTGGATCAGTCGACGCGAACCTACGCCGACGACGCGAATAAGACTCACATCGTGACGTCGGCCAAGAACGCGCCGTTGGCGCTCGAGCAGTCACGCGTGCACTTGAGCACCTCGTTATCTTCAGACGGATGTGCCCAAAATGCTGGGAAAAGTTGCGCGCCCCCCTTCGTCGGCCCTCGGTCTGAGGAGTACAGCGCTAGTGTATCTGGGGGTGCTATCAGCCCCCCTGGGCAGGTCCAGTTCGGCAATATTGCGCTGGGAATTCAAGCGCCTGTAATTGGAAGGGTGCAGGGAGAGCTTCAGTTGCGCATTCAGGCGTGCAGGGGGGGCTGCTACTCGGCGGGAAGGTTCTGGGCCCAGAATCGAGCCTGGAGGTTCACTCGTATAGTTTTCGGTGCTGTCGTCCAGGGGGCCCTGTTGTCTGGACTGGCTACGTGCGTCTTGTCGGAGGCCCGAGAGTTACGTCTCGACCGTGCGCTGATCCGCTTCGCTCGCAAGCTTCTAGGCGGCGATGCGCGCGCGAAGGTGGAGGGGCAGGATGGCGAGGGCAACCCTGTAGTAGATGAGCAGGGCAAGGCAGTCGTTCGTTATCGGGCCCTCACGGATGCCGTTGTCTCCTGTCGCGTCGGAGTCGCCCCTGCACGAGTTGAGCTGCGTGTTAGGCGCCTGGGGCAGCATCGCAGGTGGATCAGATGCCCCGAGCGTCATCCGCAAGGGATTGGCGCGATCTTCGGTCAGTTGCCGCTTGATGATCATCCCACTCTGAACGAGCAGGGTTCCTTGCACGAGCGCTCAAATACATATGCTGCACGCTTCGCGCCGGACATCCTGATCCTGGTTCGAAAGTCTCAGGCGGAGCTGCTCGACTCTTGTCTTTTCGCATTTTCCCTCGGCCGAGCCCCATATGAGACTTTGCGTGCGAGCCCTCTTGGGGGCAGTTCTTGGAGTTAGATCTTGGGCTCCTACGGGCTGAGACTAGGGCGGCCGCGATTCCACCACCTGTTGGGCTCTGCGGTCTTCCCCCTGATCCCCCAGAGGTTCTCGAAGGTGCTCCTGAGGTGCCCCCGCCGCCAGTTGTGACTTGGGATTGCCGCCTTTTCTGAACGACGACGGGGCGGTCTGCGGGGGAATCTTCGCCACGAGGAGAGCGATGCTAGCACGTCAGAGGTTCGCTCAAGGAGGGGGTCACTCTTGCCGCTTCCGATTGCACGCCATCATTGCCACTAACGAGTGCATCTTCTGCCGTCAAAATTTTCGGGCCCGTCGGAATGCGCGAGGGCATGTAGTGCAAGCCGTGCTTCGAGGTCGGTGCCCCCCGAATGTTGCGCCCTTCAATCACGCTTGTTTTGTCTTCCCGCCGATCTGACCCGAGGTGCACGCGCTGGCGGTCAGACCTGGCGCGCGCGCGGGTTCTGCTGCAATTGGTCGCGGCCGTTTAAGGGTCGAGAGCAACTTAATCGCCATCTTTGTCGGCGCTCTTCCGCGGCTTCCAGCTTCCCTCCGCGATCCCGGTGCACCGTCTGGGCGCAGAGGTGCTCGAGGCCGCGGCCCATCGTTCCCGTTGGCGCGGAGGTCAGCAAGGCTCGCACAGGGGCCGCTCTGGCTCGGCAGCGCATGGCCCCCGCTCTCGCAGAGGCGCCAGGCGCCAGCAGCCGCGCAGCCAACCTGCTGGAGGCGGCCGAGGTCGCGGCGACCGTGGGAGCACTGGCGGAGGCGGAGGCACCAGAGAGGGATCGACGGGGACTCGGGGGCCGCGGAGGCGCAGGAGCAGCACGCGCTGAAGCAGCCCGCGACGACGCTCGAATGCAGATGGGCCAGACGCGTGGACTTTCCGCCGACGCTCTCGAACAGCGTCTTGCCATGGACCTGAATGTATGTGCGCGCCTGTTTCCTGTGATCATGCGGGCCGTTCTTGGCGACTCTTTCAACCTGGGGACGGTGGCGGCAGCGTAGTTCGCGACCGCGACGATGGGGGGGCAGGCGGACGCGATCCAGAGCGGCTTCCAGGCGGGGCGCGCGCGCCACGGAGGCAGCGAGGATGCGCGACAAGTGCAACCAAGACCCGACGGGCATGAAGGTACCCGAGGCGATCATGGGCCCAGCGTGCGTGCATGTGTTCCTAGTCGTGGCTCGGAAGGTGCCCGACATGGGCGACAAAGAGGGCATGGCCAATGCCGAGACGTGGAAGGAGCAGCAGGATCGTCTCGACAGTATTTCTGCAATGGAGGATCTCACGATGCTGGTGAAAGGGTTCCGCGTGAGCTCGGCGCACATGGAAGGGCTCGCGAAGGTGGTCTTCAGCCTGGCCGAGCCCGCGATGCAGCGTGCGCTCCAGGATTGCCTCACCCAGATGGGGGCGGCCTTGCGTCCAGGGATGGCTCCGCGTTCACGCGCGGAAAGGGTGCTCCAACTCGCGCTCGACGAGTTCGAACTGCGAGGGCCGATGGCGTTAGGACGGGCGTCAGTGCGCGTGTCCAGGAGATAGTTGCCCTGGCTCAGTCGTCGCCAACGGTTGCTGCATTCGCTGGTGTTATTAGATCGCTAGGTCCTGGGGATAGCCTCCCTGGCAAGCCGTCGCCACGTCAACCGTCGCCATGTGCTGGACAGACGATGGGTGGAGGCTTACAGGATGGAGCGGGCATCGCGCATAGATCGTCGCCTTCGAGTACTGGGTACGGTGGAAGGGGGCGCCGTGCAGTACCTTTTGGATGCTGCCACTAGGACGCGGTCGAGGGGCAGCTATTCTCCTCATGTCACATGCAAGAGGACACGGATGGCCAGCTCGAGTTTGCGGGGGACCAGTGTGAGTTCGATGGTTGCTACTCCATGTGCGAGTGTTGCTACTTCTTCACGTTTGAGAAATACCAGTTTGGGATCGCAGATGCCACTGAGGGGGAGTTTTGCGTCGGTGAGAGTTCCCAGGACGACTGAAGCCTCGGGAGCCGTGAACGCCCTGCAGGAGGTTCGTGTTGCTGCCGCCGCCGCTTGCCCTCCTCATCCTCCTCCTCCTCCTCCTCCTCCTCCTCCTCCTCCTCCTCCTCCTCCTCCTCCTCCTCCTCCTCCTCCTCCTCCTCCTCCTCCTCCTCCTCCTCCTCCTCCTCGTCCTCTGAGACCTCTCCCGTCCTCCGACTCCTTTAAAGACCTGGTAGCTTATTCCATGCGTTTTTAGCCTTCGTGTTCTTTTTTGAACCTCGGGTCTGGATCCCTGGGTCGCCCTTGTGTAGAACTCGCTCGTGTGTGCTCCTCGTGAACCGCGGTCGGGCGCAGGCAATTCGGGGCTCCCGGCTCCCGCCTGTCTGGGGGGGGGCCATCGTTTACTCGCAGTCAGTTGCGCACGATAGGTCGCACATTGCAAAATGCTCCTGGCGACTCCCTCTTCTGTGGTCACTCAGACATGCGGCCCGAAATCGTCCCACCACCACCACCACCACCACCACCCCTCCTCCTCCTCCTCCTCCTCCTCCTCCTCCCTCCTCCTCCTCCTCCTCCTCCTCCTCCTCCTCCTCCCCATCCTCCTCCTCCCCCTCCTCCTCCCCATCCTCCCCTCCCCCTCCTCCTCCTCCCCCTCCTCCTTCTCCTCCTCCTCCTCCTCCTCCTCCTCCTCCTCTCCTCCTCCCTCCTCCTCCTCCTCCTCCTCCTCCTCCTCCTCCCTCCTCCTTCCTCCCCTCCCACGGTCACGTTAGGGGGGCGGCCTCGCAGAAGGCCGGGGGGTGTTTTTTTGAAGGGCCCGGATGTTGCCACAGGGAGCCTTCTCTCAGCGGCGTACGAAGGGGGGAATGAATCGAAGAGGTTTTTTTCCAGCAGGCGGCAGGTCTTCTCAGAATCCCTCGCGGAGTCTGACAAGTTTTTTGCGTCTTCGGTGGAGGTTGGGGAAACTTCTGAAAAGGCCAAGGGGCCCCCGAGCCTTCTGAGAAGGCCTTTTCCTTCGCACTTCCCCCCCTCGCTCGCCGCCGATCTTAAAAGGGCCCGGATGCTCCTCAGGAGCCTTCCCAGAACCGGCAAGGCGCCAGCAGGGCGTCCAAGGTGCCCCTTTCCTGCGGTTTGGGAGGCCCCCGCGCCCCTCTCGCACAACCCCCCCTCGGGCGCGCCGCAAGTGAGTCACCGCCGCAGCACCTGTCCCTCTGTCGGAGGGCACCAACTATACACCAATACCGATCTTGGCCAGGATCGGTGTTGGTGTATAGTTGGTGCCTTCCTACTCTGGAGACGCCCGTGTGGCAACATTCCCAGATCGGCAAGTTGCACAAGGTTGTGCCTCGCGTAAACGTTGGGAGGCCCGCGCGGGCCCCACGCATCGCAAACGCTGGAGTGCCAGATGTCCGAGGCCGAAGCGGAACTCCTCCTTGCCCCCCCCCCCCGCCCAGAGCCATTCTGGAGGGGGGGCTGGGCTTAGGGAGGGCTTCAACACCGCTCCGCGATGTGTGTGCAATCAGCCGAGCGGCCACGCCCGCAGGGTGGGCCCGTCGCTCTCTGCGCACGTCGGCGCCCGCTTCGGCTTCGGCTGGGGTGCACTGCCAAGTCGGACTTGCTCACTCGAATCGTTTTTTTTCCGCTCGCACTGGCGCCCCGCTCCCTCACCCTCCAAAGGGCGTCTCCTCCATCACGACCTCGTGAGCCTTCGAGACTCGTCCCGCATTGGCACCCCCCCGGCTTTGGCGCAG